TATTTCCAGTAAATGCACTGATGTTTTGGGATTGGGTTTGGTAGTAATGCATTTTAAATGACACAATAGTCAAACACCTGATAGGGTGTTTCCTTCTGAGCTAGAGATGTCAAAAATAACTGGTAGATGAGTATCTTTTGCAAGTACTTATTCTTATTTGCAGTAGTATTTGTGAAGTAATAAGAAATATTTTTGACTAAATATAAAATGAAAACTTAAAACAGGTGTTTCAAGTAACTTTCAAGTAAATTTATTGCAAATGAAAATTAGAGTAGTTACTAACAGATTGAATGTGTGGTTATAGTGGTGTTGCATCTTTGGAAGCAGTCCAGTTTAAAATGCAGTTCCTTGAACTAGAGTGTGGAGGTAAAGATGAACTTTTCAGTAGGAGTGATAGAAATTGTAGATCCCTGTATCTGTTGACACTGGATAGCTGTGCCCAGTGATAAAAGGTAGTCATGCCTGCTGGGGTACAGAATGTGCTCCTAAACATTTATAGTAACTCTGGACTACAAACCTGGTCAGTGGTTTATGTGATGTAAAGCCAGCACTGATCAGTCCACATTGCCACCTGCCCCTCCTTCAAGATTTGCACAGAGAGGGGAAACTGAAGTAAATGCTGACAGCTGAAATTTTGTAGTATGTGGACCTTTCTTTCTGGGAGTTTCTTTCTGGTTTTGCTATTCTCTTCTATTAAGGGGCATAGAAGAATGCTGCTGCATATTCCTTGTCCATAGACTGGATCTTTTTTATCTTCCCATACACTGAATTTTAGGGGACAGTGTGACTCACTTGCCATAACATGCATTTGGCCCATTTCTAGTCTTTAGTTATTAAACTGGTAATTTCCAAAACAACTCTAGACATGTAAAGAGGCGGTAATTACTGTAATGCTTGAAAAAGAATAAAAAAGTGAGCTAAGACAAAATTGCTACTCTTAAGCTTTAGTTCAGTGTACAATAAACAACCTACCCTTTCACCAAAATGGAGACTTTCAAATTAGTAGTGGTCTTTGCATTGGAGGAATACTGACAGGAATAGCAGAAAAGGGGCTACAATTGTGCACTGCAGTTTATCAGTAAGCATTGAGCAGGGACAAGTTTAAAGCTAGTTAATTTTATTCAAAATGGTGAATGAAAAAAGGCCTAAATGGAGAGTGCAACTGTAGACCAGGCAAATGCAGTTTCCTGATACCTAGCAGTTAACGGGTTTCAGTTTGACTGCCATTTCTCTGACCCCCTTGGCAATTCTGGAGCATTAGACTGTTGTGATGAACAGTGTCATGTGCTCAGTTTAGCTTTAAGAAAGAAGAAAAGCATGTTGTGGTTGGAAGCACAGCTGAAGTGAAACATTCTCCTGTGAGGAATGAACGTCCAAGGTCAGGTTTTTTCGTGGAAGGGACACTGCGACGTGGAGAGGGCAGAAGGCTCTTGAGTTTTTAAAAATATTGCAGTGAGTGCATCAGCACTGTGTAGTAAATTCAATAATGACAATAATAATTTTGCCAAGAAATAGAATTTCATGTCTGGAATTTCAAACCTGGAGCAAGGCATAGGAGAGTTTGAGGTGCTTGTGGAATTAGGCTGCAATCCTCTGTGATTCAAAAAGGAGAAGTCTAAAGGTAGGTGTGGTTCTGAGGTTAGCAGGGCAAGTCTAAATGCCCAGTGTGAGGGCTGCTAATACCTGGCACTAAAACACCTTGCTGCTTAAAACCACTGTCACACCTGTTTGTCAGACATAAGTCTGAAGGGGGTTTATGTTGGTTTTTCACATTGCTCTTGTTAACTGATGCCCATGGACGGGTATGCCTTTAAAAGGCTATTCAACAAAGTCGTGTTATTGGCTTAAAAACACACCAGCAGTTTGGGAAATGTATTTTAATAATGGCTCTGACTGTAAAAACACTATGAAAATATTTGTCTGAATTGCAAATACTGCTTAACCCTGTCCTGAGCTCACGGGCACCATAACAGAAGCTTTAGTTTTGGTTCCATTTGTTTTGTTTCTTCTTTTGCTGTCCCCTTTTCTCTGTTAGTGTTGGGTTTTTTCTCCTTTTCCATCTTGTCACCTCAGGCCTATACTTGAATCTTTTTTCACAAGCTCTCATCCATTCCTTTTTTCTTTTATTTTTTGCCTCTATTCTTCTGCCTTCGTGCTGTCACTGAGTGTGCTTGCTTAGCTCCCTGCACCAGAACTGATGGCATAGTATTTAATGTTTCTAATAATGAATATTTTTTTCTGTTCTTTAATTATACAAATCTCTTACGAAAATCTAATTTGCTGTATCTGTCAGATTTTTGGTAAAACGCAGTGTAAAAATCAGTTACAAAAGTATACTTTATTTATTACAAAATTCCTACATCTGCCTGTGAATGGCTTTTTTTGAAAAAAGTAATGATTACAATTGGCTTTTAAAATTGGCTTTTGAAATTTAAAGCTTTTTTCTAGAATTAGTTCAGTGATTTGAAATTTTTCATTCTTTTAAACAGTATCAAGCTGCTGTCATGCAGAATTAGGAAAACATTTCAATTAATATTCTGGATAAACAGGCAGTTTCTTTGCAGTATTGACTAGAGGAAGTCTTCAAAGAATAGGCTATAGAAGTAAATCTAAGGAAATAATAATTTGTCTTTCTGCTGCTTTTAACACTTTTATTTAGTTTCTCTGAAATTCCACCAGTGTAGGTTTTTTTGCTGTCTGCAGTGGTTTGCAGTGCACAGATATGCTGCTCTAAGCAGCTGTTCTAATGACTTTCTTGCAGGAATGGTAGAGATTTCATCTTACCACGACACTGTGGGGTGTGCACATGGCTGAGCAAGAGTTCTGGGGAAGAGGTAAAACACTGACCAGGACAGTGTTTTAAGGATATTCTGCTCTGAGTGAAATCAAAAAGATAAGCTAATTTCAGGAGAAAGTATGGTGTCTTTAAATATGTGTGCTTACATATCTGGATTTATGATTCTGATACTGCAAAGCGTGGTTTCTTTAGGTATTTCTGCATTCTGAATTTAAGTTTAAATATATATATATTTGCATATATATGTGGTATGTTGAGAACTTTTACAAATGCTTCATTAACAAATAATGAATATAAATAGCTGTTTTCCTAATGTTACCAGCTTAAGAGTTAAGCACAACTAGTTACAAATAAAATGTCTTTTCATTCTCCTGTAGAAGTGCAGTTCTACTCTTTAAAAATAATTCTGTATTTAGGAAGCAACACGGGCACATTCACAGCTCTGTGTTCTTCATTAAATAATTCAGTGTTTGTTTCCAGCTTCTTCTGCTTCTTAGAAGCTTGGGATTTAAGATGGATGAGCAGGTATCCAGATCTTCTAGTGGATAAATTTCAATATTTACATTCCAGGACAAGCATATTTTAAGATAAACAGCTTTGTCCTGGAGACAGTGCTGGGGGAAAAAAAAAAAAGAAAGAAATTTTTAATGACTATTCTTGAGGTTCTTCATTTTGGTTGGGTTTTTTCCCCCTGGATTAGAACTACACTTTAACTGCCATATCATGTTTAATTAACTTAAGCATAACATGGCTTTGTGCCATCCAGTAACAAAGGCACTGTCTTGCTGCTACTTTCTATGAAATTGTACACAATGAAAAACCTGTTTGGATGGGGAGCCTTAATATGGTTAAAAAGAAACATAATTAACCCTTTGGGTGCCTTAAGCTAGATCCTGTTTAATGATGGGGCACTCACTTGCATCTGCAGGCACAGCTTGTTGCAACGGCTGCAAGAGAATTTGCCTTAAGTGACAATGCCCTGGGATTTCCAGAACTTGGAACTCAAAGGGTTATTTTAGACTACTGGTTAAAAAAACAAGCCTCTAAACAAAATGAGAAGGTCTTTGAAAAATTCCTTTGCATACTATTATTATTTTTTTTACATTATGGGTTTATCGGCTTTGGGGACAAAATTGTTGTTAAGCTCTGGTAAAAACACCACTGGCTGAAGAATTCTACACAGAAAAAAAACACTTGGTATTCTTAAATGACTGTATGTGCAAAACAAATTGCTTTATTAAGTGTAAATTCCAAGAGAGATGCACATCTGTGTATTTACCTTGATGACTGTCCTAGCACCACACAGTAAACTGCAATAATTACAATGAAACAAGGTCAGTGTGTTGAATTAGTGATTACATATTAAAGGTGCACAATGCAGGCAACTGGACACTAAAGACTTTCTACAAATGATGCAGTTTAAGCTTAGTTCAAACCTGCCTGACAAAAATGAAGCTGTCAAGTTTAAATGACACTCTTGCCGTCCTAGTTAGCTGGAATTAAAGACTGATGTTTTTTCCCTTGAGGGAAAAACTACTTTAGGTACATGCAGTGCTGAAAGCAGTGGAAATAACAGGATTCTTAATTCACAAAAAGTGAGTAAAAAATTAATTGACTAATGTTTTTATTCTAATATGTGCACCTTTAGTTGTGTAATGGTCCCTTTAACTGAAGAATGGGATATAATTTTCTACTTGCATACAAACTTCTTTGAAATAACCAAGAGTATGGCATTGCCTGGTCTGGCTTTGGATGTACATTGTACTGAAACTGTGGAATTTTAGTCATTTCTTTTAGACATTTAACAGAAAGTTAAAATGGCTAGTAAACTGCATTCTGACTGTAGACTTTAAGTACTAAATAAACTCTATGCATATTAGACCTGCTTCACTTGCTCTCGTGTTTCGTGCTGTTGTTGCACCAGTCTGCAGCTGAGTGCTCGAGCTGCCTGGCCCCTGGAAGGCCATTCCTGAATGGCAGTACAGACTGATACCTCAGAGTGCAGAGGAAAGATGAAAGCTGTCACTCTGCTAAGCTGCCAGAATCTGTATTCCCTTTTCTGTTCCACTGGACACACGATTTGGGGGCTGGGTGGTCAGGCACTGGAATACAGGAGAGGCAGACATGCACACACCAATATCACACAAACTGGCTTTGCTTTGCACTCGAGTTTGACAGAGAAGAATTACATTTAAAGAAACCATTAAATAAAACTGACAATTTATTGAGACAAAGCTAGAAAGCAAACTAATGTGCAGCAAAACCCACAGGATTCTTTTAGCAGAGCCTGGGCTTCCCTGGAGCAGGATGTAATCACCATGACATGACATCACTGTCTCACTGAGAGCCCCAAGAGTTACATAACGTTTGCTAATTACCATCGGGGTTGTGGGAAAGCTGAGGCAAGGACACCAAGTAATTCACCAAGTCCATAAAGTCTGTCAGAGTGATCTGTAATTCAGAAAGCCATGGTTTGAGGTTTTTGCAGCTCATGCTGTATCTGTGATCTGCTGATTCCATCTGAAATTCTGTTCGTACAAAGGAAGACGAAGGTAAGCTAGAGGTGGTTGCTCAGTAATTTGCCCTCATTTGACACTGATGAATTAAAGGAAGCAGTCTGCCTTCCTCATGAAGCTTTTGTGCATCTGTTGCACCTCCAACACAAGCCCCATTGATAAACACTCTTGGGACCTATCAAGAAAACAAAAGTTGCATTAGTTACTTCTTGGGAAAAAGGGAAACGTTCAAGCAAGCCCATGTGGACTCCAGTACACACAATCACTGTGTTTGTCTAGATGTGTGTATAATATTAGTGTACAACCCATACTTGTCCATAGTTACTTACAGAGATGGGAAACTTCACATGCCCCTCAAAAATGGGATGATGACACTGTGTGGGTTATTGTAATAAATTCCAATAATTGAGTCAAGTGAGACTATGTAAAATAAAATAAAGGTGTTGTAAAACACAATGGTTTAAATATACAAATGAGAAATGGCTTTGATACTTCAATTATTTCAGTGGTAGTATGGCAAAGATCAGCTCTGAGGGATAGCCAGAGACCTGCAGTATTTAATTTAGGAACTTGTATCCCAAATTTACCTGTCTGAAAACAATTAAGCACTTGCTGTGGATGTAACCCAAGAGTGATGTGTGTAGCCCAAGCTGTTACTTGTTATGTATAAGAGAATACACTCACTGTTCTGCCACCAGTCATCTGTTCCAGAATGTCTTGCAACTGCCTTCCATTTGTATTTAGGTCCAGTTCCACAGCTGTGTAATTCACATTCAAACCCTCAAAGAGGTTTTTTGCCATTTTGCAGTATGGACACGTTGTTTTAGAGAAAATCACCACACAGTTTTGTGAAATAATGTCCTGCATGCCCAAAAGAAAGTTAGAAGTCAGCGAGCTTCAAGCCAATGCACTTGGAACGCTATTGAACAGTCCTGGAAGTAATACACGAGTTAAAAAGCTGCTGTTAGAGCAGCAAACACAGGAAAATCTCTGCTGGCACCTCTGAAAGCAGGTTTGACCTGCTCCTGGCTCCAAAACAGCACAGGGATGGTGGAGTGTGTGGTGCAAACTGCTCTGCAGTCTGCCCATCTCCCTGTGTCCCCATGAATTGTTTAGTTTTCTCTGTCCGTAAGGCACTTGGGATGTGCCAGTGGCAAGTACAGTGACCAAAAGCAGTGGGTGGAAGATACACCCTTATCACTTTACTGTAAATTCAAGGGGGTTTCAGGCTATCATTCACTATGAGTAAATTTATAAAAAACCAACTTCCAAAATATTTAACTTTACTGGATATCAGTAATTTTACATGGTTCTATCGCTGATGTCGACAGCAGCACTGAATTTGAATGGAGTTCTTAAAAAACCCCCATAAAATGGGTGCAGCCTAGGAAGATCAGGTCCCAGGGCTGTGGATAAATACAACTGCCAGCATAACCATGGCTTGATAACCACGATGAACATAGGAACAGGTTCAACAGGCAGAACTGTTTACTGTACTTGTGTAAATAAGGAAAGGTTTGAAGTAATTGGCTTTTATAACTGCTGAAAATCAGTAAAAGCAACATAAATAATGCTACCTGTATTTGATTCACAGCAGCATCATAAGACAATCCTACAGAAGCGGTCTGGCTGTTCCCCATTCTATAACTAGAAAGAAATGACAGTCAGGTCTTTGAGCTTTCCAAGAATCGCCACATTGCCCTGTTTTGTTTCGGTTTTCCACTGACTGCACCATGGAAGTTCACTTGAGCTGCATGCAGCCAGCCCGCTTCCCGTGTGCCTGCAGGGAAGGGCAGCGGCTGCGAACAGCCCGGAGGGGCCGTTACGGGAAAACGCTCCGCGCCGCCGGTGACAGCCACACACAGACAGAGAGACACAGACAGACAGACAGACAGACACAGAGACACACACACGCTCCGCGCCGCCGGTGACAGCCACACACAGACAGAGAGACACAGACAGACAGACAGACAGACAGACAGACACACACACACACACAGACAGAGAGACAGAGACAGACACAGACAGAGAGAGAGAGACAGAGACAGACACACAGACAGACACACACACAGAGAGAGAGAGAGAGAGAGAGAGAGAGAGAGAGAGAGAGAGAGAGAGAGAGAGAGAGAGAGAGAGAGAGAGAGAGAGAGAGAGAGAGAGAGACAGACATACACAGAGAGAGACAGAGACAGACACACAGACAGACACACACACACACAGAGAGAGAGACAGAGACAGACACACACATACACCCCCCCCACACGTGTGACACCCGCGGCACCGCGGGACCCCGCACCGCTCCCGAGCCCTGCCCTCATCCTCATCCCGAACCCTGTCGCTCTCCCAGTCCCGATTCCGGGCCCGGTCCTTGTTCCGGTCCCGATCCCGGTCCCCGTCCTTGTCCCTGTCCCGACCCTAATCCCAGTCGCGGTCCCGGTCCCGATGCCTATCCCGGACCCTCTCCTTGTCCCGAAGCGGATCCCGATCCCGGTCCCTGTTCCTGTCCCGACCCTAATCCCAGTCCCGGTCCCGGTCCCAGTCCCGGACCCTCTCCTTGTCCCGGTATCTGTCCCGATCCCGGTCGTGATCCCTGTCCTTGTCCCGGTCCCTGTTCCTGTCCCGACCCTAATCCCAGTCGCGGTCCCGGTCCCGATGCCTATCCCGGACCCCCTCCTTGTCCCGATGCGGATCCCGATCCCGGTCCCTGTCCTTGTCCCGGTCCCTGTTCCTGTCCCGACCCTAATCCCAGTCCCGGTCCCTGTACCGGACCTTCTCCTTGTCCCGGTATCTGTCCCGATCCCGGTCGTGATCCCTGTCCTTGTCCTCGTCTCGGTCACTGTCCCGACCCTAATCCCAATCCCGATCCCGGTCCCTGTCCCGATACCGATCCCAGTCCCGGTCCCGATCCTTATCCCTTTCGCAGTCCCAGTGCCGATCCCAGTCCCTGCTCCAGACCGTGTCCTTGTCCCGATCCCAGTCCCGATCCCTATCTCTATCCGTGTCCCGATCCTTATCCCATTCCTTATCCCATTCCCATTCCCGGTCCCGGTCCCGCGCCCCCGGCCCGCACTCACCGCCCCCCCCAGGCCGCCGCCACGCGGCGCAGCGCCCCCTGCAGGGCCATGGCTGCGGCAGGAAGGGGCGGCGCTCCCCTCGGCCCTCACGGCGCCGCTCCTCTCAGGCCCCCGCGCCGCCTCCCGGGGCTGCCCGCCGCGCTGCCTGTGCTCCGGGAGAGCCAGAGACACGGGGCCAGCTGGGACAGCACGGGGACGGGGAGAGCACGGGGACAGGACAGGGACAGGACAAGGACAGGACAGGGTCAGCTGGGACAGCACGGGGACGGGGACGGCACAGGGACAGAGCCAGCACGGGGACAGGGCCACACAGGGCCAGCACAGGGCGGGACAGGGCCAGCACAGGGCAGCACGGGATGGGGCAGGTTTCCCAGGATGGGGCCAGGGGAAGGCGTAAAGAGGGGCTGGGTTTCCCGGGATGGGGTCAGGAGAGGCACGAAGGGGCTGGGTTTCCCGGGATGGGGTCAGGAGAGGCACGAAGGGGCTGGGTTTCCCGGGATGGGGTCAGGAGAGGCACGAAGGGGCTGGGTTTCCCAGAGGCCCCGGAGCCGCTCCTGCTGTGGGGGAGGCCCGGGACATTTGTCCTCCTGCCCGGCTGCCTTCCAGACGTGGGGGTTTCGGCGGTGCCTTGGCTTTGTCCCGTGTACAACTTACTTTAAATCTTCTCCGTCCCCGTTTCTGTTGCCTGTTGTTCCTCACGTTTCTTTCCTGCCTCGCAGTTGCTCGGGCAGACGCTGAGCTGTGAAACAGGAGGGTTGGGAACGCAGTGAACAATGGGTGGGGGGTGAAGAGCGGCTGCTGGCACCTGGGGAGTTGTGTAGTGGAGTTGGCTAATCGTGTAATGTGTCGAATTTTTTAGAGGCTCCTGGGGAAAAAAAGAAAGGGGAGGTTTTAATTTATGTGGTAAGTTTTTTTATTTCCTCATTCTGCCCAGTAGAAGCTGTTCAACAACATTCTGTTATTCGCCCCCCACATACCTTGCTGCGGAGCCTGGTCAAATGAGTGTCCTTGGCAGAGCTTTCCTGTGGAATATCCTCTGAGCATCCCCCCTGGGGTCTGCACAAGGGTTTCAGTAGTGGAGAAACTTTTCTACCCCCTCTTAGCTGAGAGGGTAATTGTGCTCTGGATCACTACTCAGTGCTCAGCCCTGTGTTTTAAAAAATACTGCAAGGAAATGCACATGCATACCGATTTGGTTTTGTATCAGTCACATGTATCTGTAAAAAAGGGAATGTGTGTTCATGCATGATGTATCTTTCTAGTATCTTTCTGGATGTTGATTAATCTTAAATGAACTTACCTATGATGAAAAATTGTCTAATGCTTTGCAACTTAATTTTGATTTCCTACAAATATCAGTATAACCTGTTAAAGTAGTGAGAAAATGCAACTGAGATATTGTACCCATGTTATATTCTCTCATTTTGCTAAATGGTAACTTGCTTGCTCATTTCAGGTAATGATTTTGTAGCCTAATCTTCTGTGATAAAACTGATAAACTCTCAGGTATCTAATGCCACATGAAAATAGTTTCATATCAATTCCTGTTTCAATGATATAAATGCTGGTTTATAATGTCACTATGATCCCCAAAGCAAACTGTGGGAACTACTTTGTAAACTCCCAGTTAAAACTTGTAACGAAAGCATCTTGTAACGAAAGCAAAGAGTAAACCCACTATAATTTTGCATTAAATTTGGCAGAAAATCACCCTCCTGGCATTCCAGCTGCTCCTCAGGTATCAGAGGGGCTGGCAGAGCCGGGTTTAGCTTCTGAGCCGTGGCCAGTTCAGCAGCAGACATGCAGAGCTGGTGTGGCACTGGAAGGAGATGACCTTTGGAGCTCCTTCCAACCCAGCCCACCCCGTGGTTCTGTGCTGGTGGTGAGTGCCCTGTGTGCAGAAGTGTGTGTGAGCCCGTGAAATATGAACCGTACGTGTGGGGGGATAGAATATAAGAAAATAAAGATAGTGCAGAGAGTAATCTCACCCCCAAGGAGTTGCAGCTGGGCCAATTACCAAAGACTAGGAACAGGCCTGACTTTAACAGGCCACAGCTGTGACCAGTGAGAAGAAGAGTGCTATAAAAGAGTGGGTTGGGGGGTTGAGAAGGGAGCTGGTTACTTTGTGAGGAAGAAAGAGTCAGTGCTCTGAGGAGCTGCCCATGAGAAGACACCAAGGAGGTATGAAACTTTTGTGATACGGAGACAACAGTATGGAACTTGTGCAATAGTATGACAACTCGCACAGCCAGCCACAAGCACAGTCGGTGGGGAGATGCCAGTGTAGCAGTAAGAACATGATCCCAAGCACAGGCTGGCTTTCTAAATTTCCCCAGCAAGCACCCGCTATAGCCGAGCACTGGAGTCTTACCCAGCCGGTGTCCCTGTGAGAGGAGAGAGGTGGAGCCCTCTGGCAGTGCTGGGAATCAGAGATGGAGTCTCCTCTGACCTCCCTTACCACTACAGCTCTATTTATGTTGTTTCCAGTGAGCGACAGGAGAGGTGAAGTTGTGGCTGACATAATTTCCTGTCTAAGTGGAGTTTGATTTTAGTCATGAGCACATACGGGGGGTACTGACACAAAGCTGGGTCATTCCTTTGGCCTGGTTCCTGTTACCTGCATTGTTCCTGCCAGAGCATGACCACAGCACCTCTGTGCCTCTCCATCCTTTGTTTCACATCTGCATTGATTTCAGCAGGGCGAGACCAACTCGCTCCCTGCTGCTGCCTGCTTTGTTCCCTCCTCCCAGAGCAGCACAGCGACAGGGATCCTGCTCCTGAGGGTGCAGGCAGCTTGTCCCTGCTGAGCTGCTGCCAGTGCACACACTCCTTGCTCAGCTTCCTTTTTCAGTGTTCTCCCCAGTGAAAGCAAACTTGAATGAAAAAAAGAACCAGAACGACAATGTTTTCTGGAAACCTGAAGATAAATCCCTTTGCAGCCGTGTGTGCAGCTGACTGTGTGCCCCATTCCCTGCTCCTGAGCAGCAGAACTGAAATGAGGGGCTTTTTGGTGTCATTGCAACACAGTGACTGCGTGTCCCCCTGAGCAGAGGTGTTACTTGTAGTGCAGCAGATGTACAGGATGTGCTTCTGAAGAGGTAGCGCTGGTTTAGGGGATACACTGGGGCTTTTGGGTGAGGCATGGAAATGGGACTTGGCCTGCGGGAAGCATTTTGTGTCCTGTTCCAATCTTCATGAGCTGTAGCTCCAGTCATCATTCCAAATCCAGTTCAGGAAATGATATTGTTTATTCATTATGCCTTTGTCTTCTAAAGACATAAATACTACTCTATACCAGTTGACAAACAAATATTGGCAGTGATTGGTATAACTCCCATGTTACTGGGTGTTGCAGTACATATTTGTGTGCTAGACTTCTTTAATGCCATATCTGAAGTGTTTTAAATACACTTGTGGTGCTCTGTGTGTTGTTGTTCTGACACAGATGGGGATATCACTAACATAGTGAAACAGGGAATTCTATAGGCTGTTGGCTTTTAGTCTGTTTTGTCAGTCTCAGCACGTTACTTACAAGAAGAAAAATGACCCAATTCTGCCTTTTGCAAATTTGAGATGGTATCATGTTTTCTGCCAGTGTTGGGGAATGTTAAGAAAATTCTGAGCATCAAAGCTTAGAGTAAGTCATGATGAGAGCTTGCTTTGGGGTCTCAAATGCTGCAGTTAATATTCCCCAGGAGGTACCAGCGTCTTTGGTTTTGCTGGGAATGCTATGCTCCCGATTTTTGTGTGTTTAAGCAGAAGAAATTAACCTGGAATGTGGAGAGAGCTCAGGCCAGCCAACTGCAGCTGTGCAGTTGCTCAGGTGAGCACACTGAGCTCTGAGATCCCAGATTCTGCAGGGTAATATGGGATGTGCTCCATGGCATTACTGTTTGTTCTTCTTCAGATTCACTGGCAATATTTTCCTAATGACCTTTTTTGTTATGCTATGGTCTTTTGATGGCTTATTTGTATCAGAATTTTTGTGATTGATAAAGCAGAGACTTTTCCTTTTTTTACCCATCTTTATATCCAGGATACAGGAGATTTTCTCTCCAGCATGCAGAGTGAGATGCATGCACAGCGTCTCAGAGAAGCAGAGTCACAGAATACCCTCGGCTGGAAGGGACCCACAAGGATCATCGAGCTGAACTCCTGTCCCTGCACAGGACACCCCAATAATCCCAGCATGTGTCTGAAAACATTGCCTGAAAGCTTCTGGGACTGTGGCAGGCTTGGGACCATTACCTGCCCTGGGGGAGCCTGACCACCGTCTGGGTGAGGAGCCTTTTCCTAAAGTCCAGCATAAACTCCACTGATACTGCTTCCTGTGCTCCCTCTGTTCCTTTTACACTGTTTTATTGAGGTGCCTCCCCAAACAGCCCCAGACCCCTCTCAGGGCTCTTCAACACCTCTTTAGTGTCTCTAAAGCCCCTCCAAGTACACCATAAACCATCGCAGCCCCCCCAACATCCCCCAAACCTCCTCAGCACTCCCAAATCCACTTTAGCTCTCTCTGACCCCTCCCTAAAGCATTCCCTGAAGCCCCATTAGCATCCCAAATCCCTTTGAGCAGCCTCTAAAACCTCTTCAGCCTCACTAAAACTCCTCCCAGTGAACCACACGCTATCCTAGCATCCCAACCCGCCCTCAAACCTCAACACAGCCGAAACCCTTTTTAGTTGTGCTTTAGTATCCACAAATGATTCCTAGGACCTTGAAAAAAAAACCCATTAGTACCCCCAAATGCATGCCAGCACCCCTAAAACCCCGTTAGCACCACCCACCCCTTCCAGCACCCTCTAAAATCTCTTCTCCAAACCGAAACTCCGCGTTTCCCCGCCCAAACCAGCCTAGCACGCCGTGACTCGGCGGCCACGCGGGACCATCAAAGCTCCAGGGAAAAGAAGCACGTCGATAAACTTGGGCAGCGATTGTGTGTGCGTAAAGCTCTATTTTCACATAAACCATAAGAAAGCTCTGCCCCTCAGGACGGAGAAAGCCATACCCACACCCCTCGCCCCGCCCGGGCTGCCCCGAGGGCGGCAGCGGGGGCGCGGCCGCCGTGAGGGACAAGGGGCGTGGCTTCCCTTAGCACCGCCCCCTCCCGGGAGGGGGCGGGCCCACGTCGCTCCCATGGCAACGCGTCCGGCGTCGCCCCGGTAGGCGGCGCGGCGGCGTTGGCTCAGGCATTCGCGGCGGCGGCGGCCGGAGCGGTGGCGGCCGGGCGAAGATGGCGGACGTGCTGAGCGTGCTGCGGCAGTACAACACGCAGAAGAAGGAGATCGTGGTCAAGGGCGACGAGGTGATCTTCGGAGAGTTCTCCTGGCCCAAGAACGTCAAGACCAACTATGTCATCTGGGGGTGAGCGACGCGGCCGGGCCGAGGGGCGGGTGGGGGAGAAGTTGCCCCGAAGTTGCGCCCGGGCAGCGGGGCGGCGGTGCCGCCGTCCTTGGCGCTCCGCGGGTAGCGAGGGGACGGGGGCGGGCGGGGGCCTCGGCGCCCCGGCGCGCTGCCCGGCCGTCCCGTGGGCGATCCCCGTCCCTGGCAGCCCGGCCGGGCAGGCAGCGCTCGCCGCTCCCTTCGGGAACGTTCCCGGGTGCTGCCCCGGGCCGGCGGAGCCGCGGCCGCGCCGATCCTCGGCTCTCGGCGCTCCTGTCCGTGCCGCCCGCGGGGCCGCGTCCTGCAGACTCATGCGATGAGATGGCAGCAGGCTGCTGCTCCCAAGTTTTTCCGGGTGTTGGGTGAAAAAGACGCTGATGTTGTTGCTCGGACGACGCTCTCAGGCACACGGGGCGATTCTTGGGGTGTTTTGCGCGGGGCCGGGAGCTGCAGTGGGCGATCCCGATGGGTCCCTTCCCACTCAGCACAGGCTGTGATTCTGCCCTGGGTTGTCGGGGCTGCTTCTCGTCTCCTGGAGCTTTGGCAAAGCCCCGGACCGACGCTCCCCGTGATGAGCTGTGCAGGTGCTCTGCCTCCACCTGAGGCCTCTTCCTGGGCAGAAGCTCGTGCAGGCTGTTTCCTATTGGTCTTACCGGAACAAACAAGTAGAGAGAGTGTTTATTGTAGGAGATAAAATGCCCGGTTTTAGAAAGCCTCTAGAAAGCGTGGGGTTTTACCTGTTGAATTTCCTAGTATAGCATGGATTGCTTATATTGCAAAGGAGTTTTTTGTTTGCCTTTGCTCAGAATTTAGCAGCTGTTTGCTTCTTAGTGTCCTCACTTGAAAGGTTCCAATAAATCTTTTTCAAACTGAAGAGGGAAAAATGCTTCTTTTTAAAGCTCAGGTCCTGATCAAAGAGGACATGTTATCCTGTGAACCTTTGTGGAAAAGCAGAAGTGTCTGCAGGTTTCTCACAAAACCCCGAACTTGTAGTTAAGTCTGACCAGCAACTATTATGTTTTTTCCTTGTAATTATGATATGACCATTAGCCTTAGATTGAGAGAGAGAAAGGAATTAAGCCTACTTGCTTATCTTCAGTTGTAGGTGGACTTTTCATAGGTAATTTTACTTTGCACCTTATATATTGCTAGAAATCTGCTTTTTCATTACCTGTTTTAAGCTTTCAGAAATTAATTTTGTTGTTATTTGTGCTTTCTGACTGAGTGGGGGATACTGGTATGTAGACTGAAGAGGAAGAAAAATATTTGGAGAAGCAGTTAGAAGTCTTGGCTGTATTTTTGCTGGGCACTGTGTGGACAGATGTGGTGGTTTCCTTGCTCTAAGTTGCCTTTCCCAAGTGGAAACGAGTAGTGGTTAAGTAGACAAACAAGTTTCATTGCCCTTCTGCAGGGAACAAGAAACTGATATACCAGCCCTATACTATTGCTCAGGAGAGCTTGGGTTAGACCCAAAAATTGTTAGCAAAAGCCTAAAAGCAGCTGGAGAGCAAACTTTGCTTTGTTCAGCCAGGCAGCTTTGTGCTGCTGGTCGGGCAGGAGCTGTGGGTGAGCAGAGGGCTCTCTGAGCACAGCAGCAGCAGCTCCTGCCGCAGCTCAGCGCTCGCCTCCTGCGCTGGAATCCGAGGGGTTTTCTTCTTGGGTTTGTTGGAGGTGAGCCAGTGAATCTTGGTTTAGACCAGTGCCTTCTGAGCTTTTGGTAGGATCAGACTGCTCTCAGTTCACAGCATTTCTTGTCAACCACAGTGGCATTTTGTATGTCTCAGCTTTGAATTGAAGACACTGTAAAAATGAGACCAGTTCTGCAAGCCATGCTCAGTAGCTTGAGCACCACACTTCAAGAGCTGCTAATTTAGGTAATTGCTGCACTCAGGAGGGACATTCTGAAAACTTTCAAGATTCATACCCTTTTATATTCAGGTCACTTGACAGAATCCAAATTATGCTTGCCCTGAGCAGGTGTTGGGGGCTTAATCTTTCACACAACAAACCTTGAGTTCTGTTTTAGGTGTCCCCAGTATGGTTGCTGTAATTGCATCTCCAGCCTGAAGAGAGTAATGCCAGGCTGAAGAGCAGCAGTGGCATTTGTCCCTGCTAGAATTAGAAGTAGTCCCAGGAGACATTTAGCTGTGGCTCCTCGAGCAGCTTAGCTGGCAGAAGTCAGCAGTGCTGCCCTGCATTGCCTTCTCTCTCTCTAGCACACGTGTCACCCAAACAGGGAACTGGGCTGAGGAATCAAGCCAAGTTAAAGGTAACCTGGAGGAAAAAAAATGGGGGGGGAAAGCAACTTTAATCCAGTTTAGTTTCTAGGTAATAATTACAGGGATGCTCCTGCTGGCACGTGAAAAAGGCTAGGTGGTCTGAGATGAAGTGGTTTGTGTGTTTTGACCTATGGGCCCTGAAGAGTGATTAATGAATCTGTTTCAAAACCAAAGGAAGGAATCCATCTACCAGAGAAATGTATTGCTTTGTTTGCTTCGTTTGCCTAGTCAAGGGGCTTGGATATGCAGCTGAGTTTTCAAACAGTGAGCAGCTGGCCCTGGGTATTGTCAGTTGTGTGATACTCAGTGTGCTTTGTTTTGTGTTTTTAAAGATTTCTCCTTGGGTTTGTGGATGAGGCACAGGTCCATAGTACTCTGTAAAACTTCAGGCTTTGAAACAGGAAAGAGGAAATAGAGCTGTTAAAAATGAATAAATTCCTGCTGCCCACAGGTGGAAGGTGAATGGATGAGAAAGAAGTAAGTTTCTGGTGTTAAAAATGAGCAGATGAAACTTACTCTCTCCTATCATATAAACATTTTCTCAGTTTTTAAGCTGGAGTTTGTAAGAGACGCAGCCATTCCTTATATTTTTGCTTTAATGATTGTCACTGGGTTTGTTGAGGTCTGCCCCCCAAGACTTTAATTTTTTTCTTAAGTAATTGATGCCACAACTGAATATCAAAAATAACATAATTAATTTCTATTTCCACTTTGGATGTTTGTCAATTGAATGAGGCAAGCTACCCTCAGATCTGCCTGTTTTTAGTTCTCTGTTTATTTAGCAGGAGCACACACTGATGTTGAAATGTCAATTTAGGCTTAGGTTTTCTCCTTCTGTGCAACTGCTTGTCCATCTGATAATTTCCTATTAATGTGCAATATCTTGTGCTCCTAATAAAACATCCTCTTAGAGCCACAATGAGCACGGGGAATTCTTGTGTGTGTGGTTGAAGTGATGAAGTACCAGCTGTGCCCTGCTGAGCTTTGGCAACGCCTGTGGCTTTGTAGCACTGTATTGTTTCAATTAATAGATAATGCTCCAGTATTTGTTTGTTTTTATATCTTGTCCTTTATTGCTAAATATTGTAAAGCTTGAGTACATGACCAGCTGGACTTTTCCATCATGCTCAGTGCACACTTCAAAGAAATAATGAGTGAATCTGAACTAAGACAATCTAAAGTGTTTGTTTTAAAATGAAGTGACAGCTGTATCATGTGACATCATGGCTTGCTTCAGAGCTAAGCCTGTGTAGAGGAAGCTTTTGTTTCTGCTAGTGCTTCCAGTGTGTTTAGAAACCACCTTATCAGAGATCCTTACTGCTTTGCTGCTTGTTCAAACAGTTCCTTGCTGAGGAATCCAGTTCTGGGGGCTGCCTGTAGTTGTCAAGCCAAGTTTTGGCTTCTTAGCAGTTGAAAGAAAAATCCTGTGTGTCTACTCCCCTTCTTCTGCAGCAACAAAAAGTACAGGCACCCTCCACCTCATGCAGACCAAGTTTTTGGAAGGCAGGGATAATGGTAAGAGAGACCCTTTATTCTGCAGTTCTGGTATCCTGAATCCCTTTTCTCTGCTTGTTATTCTTGTGTCTTGTTTTCTCAGGCATCATTGTGAAGGTGGGGTTTTGAACTTTAGTGCTGATAATAGATTCTGAATAGGTCATTGGGCACTCTTAGCTAATTTCAGAAAAGTAATGACAAGCAAAGCAGTAGGTGGCATTAAATCCACAGTACTGAGAAAACAGACTGACACCTCTGTTGGTTTAGTAGATTTTTGGGTGGCTCTTTCAGGCTCCATAAAGTTCTGACTGACTATTTATTTCCTCTCCCTTCCCCCAGTGAGGTTGGCACTTCTGTGGTGTGTGCTTTGGTGCTGATGATGAGCCATGAGTAAAGCCACTGTACTTAGAGGGAAAACTCTTAATGAAAGGGTTTCTTCCTGAAATCGCTTGTTTATTGAAAATTCTCTACCAGTCTTAAATGTATAGCTTTGAGCTGTTTTTGTGGTGGCTTCTCTTCCTCAGGCTTTAAGGTGAGCCACTGGACAGGGACTGAGCAATGTGGAGGTGCCCTGTCCTGCCTGGAGCTGGGGTTTGACATGTCCCAAAGTGGGGGTGGGCAGTGGAACTGCTGCCCTTGCTGCTTTCCTGACTGCCAGGGCTGTTTCTCAGGGCAGTGTTTAGGGAATAGGGGTTTTTGAAACACAGACAGGCACTGCTTCCCCTACAGAGTCTTGTAGTAGCAGCATAATGGGTGAGAGGGGGGAATTCTGTTCAGTGTACATGGAGCCAGGCTGAGCCAGGGATTTATTTGGTCTTGTTTGGTTTTGTGGTTTTTTTGTTTTTTTTTTTAATACTTGCACAGAACAAGTTCCCTTTTAGAATTAAGAGCTGTATCTTTGAAACAAGCTGTTTGAAAGCTGAGATAGAACTTGATGATGCTGTTGTGTTGCTCTGATGTGGTCTGACTTCAGTATGGGAGCTCACTGTGATTTTGTATCCTTCAGCATTTTGCTGGGGGTTTTTTTGTGCAATTAGTTTGTAGTCACTCCTTATTTTAATCTTTTGGCACCGTTTTGAGCCTTTGCTCCCTAGACTTTGTGGAATTTGTATGTCCCAAGTTCACACTATGCTTTCTCCAGTGCTGAGCATTGTGGCCTGTTGTACCTGAAGATGATGTAATGCTTTATTTCATTTGCAGCTCAGTTCTGTTTGTCTGGCTGTCTCACATGTGATAGACAGTTCCTTTGATAATCAGAATAAATAGTGTGAACGAGAGGGAATGTGTACTTACGATTTCCCAAGTCTAGCTTGTTTGTTTTGCAACACATCCAACCCTTATTTTGGGAAGGTTTTTTTAATAATTCATGCAGTAAAGAGGCTGCAAGAACTCATCTCCCTCACCTGTACTTTTTAACACAGTTGAGAGCTCACTAGTTTGGCAGTAGCCTGATAATAATATTAACTGCTTGCTTTTTAAACTGTCGTCTGGAAAGAAAAGAGACCTTTTCTAAAAGAGGGTGTGCTTGAGAAATTAAATGCTACCAACTTTTCTTGTGTTACAGGACAGGGAAAGAGGGCCAGCCCAGGGAATACTACACTTTGGATTCTATCTTGTTCCTGCTCAATAATGTGCACCTTTCCCATCCTGTGTATGTCCGTCGTGCTGCAGTAAGTACACCATAAAGAATGTGATTTTTGTTTTGTGATGATGAATATGTGTTATTATTTATATTTTATATGTGTTATTTTCAGGGAATGATAAATGCACTTGTGTGTACGAATTTGGCTGGGGAAAGTAAGAATGGTATGCAGCAGAGTGTGTGTGAGTGTTTGAAAACAGTCACCTCTGCAGAAGGATCACATGACAAGTCCTGTCAGGGTGGAGTATTTTTCTTGACAATTCACTTCCTAACAGATCATTCCTTCAAACCACCAAATTATGTTTACAGCAAGAGTTTGTTAACCAATTATTAGCAGTAATGTCAGCATTTATCATGATAATCTATGGACATAGTTGTTTCCAGCACTAAACTCTTTTGAGAGTACTTTTGTCCATCTGGTGTGTGGAGTGATCCCAGTCTGGATGATCCTTTAGCGCCTTAGATGGCAGGGATCTACAGAATGGAGAAAAGCAGAACAGCTTTGGAGTGGACTTGGAAGTGAGCAATCCTATTAAAAAAATTACTGATTGAGCCTTACAAATAAAGATAAAAAGGAATTTTTTAAAAGTCCTTTTTATTCTGTTTGACTGTTTTCTGTGGGGCCACTCTTCATCTTTCCTTGTGCTTCATTGTTACCTGAGACAGCAGTGCTGTGTTGAAACATCACAATTGAGATACATGATTTCTATGTATCAACACAGACTCCTGGCAGGGAAGTGTTTGTGTGTGAGGTAAAAGCTAGTTCTTGATCTTATTTGCAAGTTTGTGGAAGGAGGGAAAAGGCTGCCCTCTCTTTCAGTTTTGTAGCAAGCTGTATGTTTAATTTTGTGTAGCTGAGCATCCTCTAGGATGTGGTTGCACTTTAAGCTTGATAGTTAAGCTTGTTTGAGTGGCAGGACACATGGTCATGTCTTTGTGTGAATGAGTAGTTTTCTGTGAAAGTGAGAAATCTTCAGTGAGTCTCTGTGAGGGAAGAACAGTTTAATGTCACGTCTGCTGTCTTTTCAGACTGAAAACATTCCTGTGGTAAGAAGACCTGATAGGAAAGACTTGCTTGCATACCTAAATGGGGAAACATGTGAGTGATGTGTTCTTTTGACTTGGACACACAGTGCTCTTTACTGCTTCATGTTCATGGCACAAGTGAGGGCTAGGAGGGGGAGGCTGGGTAACAGGCAGTTTGCATCTTAACTGAATGTGCTGAAGCTTCTCAAACAAAGGTATTATTTCTTGCATTTTTAATTGTGTTCTTAATTGTTTTGCTTGGATAGGAGATGCATTCCTACATGCATGTTTAGAGGTGAACGTTATTATTACTATTAACCTACTCTGGTTAATAATTATGTGTTAGAATGTTTAGCCTGTATGTTTTTTCCTTCTCCAGAGTATGGGAAGCTTTCAGTAGTACATGGATTTTGAATGCAAGAAATGTGAGGGATGAAATCTTCAGTTTAATAAAATATATGGAATCACTGCTTTGTCAGTCCTGCACGTTTGCCTGGCATTTCATCATCTTAAATTTCTTGTTAACATTAGTCAGAGAAAAGAGGTTTCTCTGAGAAAAAAAGAACTGTCACCTTTGTAAGATGCTCTCTTTCGTAGGTGACCTTTAAATTTTAGGTATCATGGAGTATGAGATTATGATGAGTAAAATCACTATATATATATGTGTGTGTGTGTACTTTTGTTTTTAAGGGCATCAGCAGGTTGTCTTAAAAAAAACCAAAAAACAACCTAGACAAACCAGTAGATCTTGATTCTAGATTCTAATTCTCATTGTGACTCTGTTTTCTTTTATGAGTGGTATATAGAGATTATAGAATCATTGATTAATTTATGTTGGAATGGAGCAGAAGAGGTCACCTGATCCAATCCACTTTTCAGAGAAGGCCCAAATGACCCTGAGCAACATGATTTAACTCTACATTCAGTCAGGTTCTGACTAGTTCCACTGGTCCCAGTGTCTGACCACCTTTGCTACCTAATATGTAGAGTTTCCATTGTTGCAGTTCACCTGTTGTCCTTCTTTCTTTTATACCCAAATATTTTTGTAAATATTTTCTTTTTAAACTGAATGTTCTGTTTGAATGCAGCAACCTCATCAAGCATAGACAGAAGTGCTCCACTTGAAATTGGTCTTCAGCGATCCACTCAAGGTACAGTTTAACTGAAAAAGAATTTTGAGGTTTATTTTATAAAAATCTACTACAATCTTGCATTTTGAATGTTCTCTTTTTCTTGTAGTTAAAAGAGCAGCAGATGAAATATTAGCAGAAGCAAAGAAACCAAGAATAGAGGTAATGACAGTGACTGTCATCAGTACAAATGGGTGGTGGAGGTAAATTACGGTGTTTATCTGTTTGTAGGAATTCCATTGGGTTACCTCTCCTTTGGTGTACAGAGAGCTTGGTTATGGGAGTGGGAACTGGAAGGGGTTAGAAGTTAGACTTGGAGAATTGTGGTTTTCAGGGAAACTTCCAATAGCTCTGCATGTAATGATAGTGCCCAGATCAAAAAGCATTGGAAATAAAGATTGTCTTTGCAAACATGAAGAAAATACTTCTGACTAGCTTTAATTCCAGCTGTACTTATATTTGAAAAGAGAATGCACAAGAACTCAAACCTGGCTGTTCCTTCCAGGATGAGGAGTGTGTGCGCCTCGACAAGGAGCGCTTGGCAGCTCGGCTGGAAGGACACAAAGAGGGCATCGTGCAAACGGAGCAGATCAGGTGGGATTACTGCTCCTTATGCCTCATGCTTGATTACAGGATGGAGAACAATTCTTGTGCTGCCAGTTATGCTTCTGTCCAGCAGCTCTCAGTGGAAATTTTCCTCTCTTTGATACTCTCAGTAATGTTTGAGGAGTCAGACCTTGGAGCACTTATGACAGTGCAGATTTGAGGCATTTATGAAATCCATAATTACAGCTAACCACATGAAAAACATGTATTTTGGATGGTTTCTTCCTATCTCTTATATGTATACTTAAAAGGAAACTATAGGGAAAAAATCTGATGATGGCATGGTTAGAAAGCATAAGAATAAAAAACAAAATCACAAAGTACATGTGATTTTGTATAAACTAATAATTTGGATGCTACCTTGAGTGTAGCATTACAACTTTAGTAGTGCTGCTGTGAGGATTACTGTGTGTTGTTTGAATTAGTTTATATTCTCTAATTACCAGTTCTTTTAATGCTGAATGTAAACAACCCCTTTAAAAAATACAGATATTTGCAGGCGGTGAGTTTCAACTCCATGCTTGACCCTGCTGTGCACCAAGTAGCAACACAATGAAATTCCCTTTCCCATAACATAATTACAAAGGAGAATGCTTCACAGCCAGTACTTGCATTAATTTTTTCATGAATTCTCAAAGAAAAAACAACCCCATGTAATAGCAAATTTGGTATGGACAGTTAGTGTTGTGCAATTCAATCTTGATCTTTTTTTTTTTCAGCTCACCTGCGAAACAGTAGGGCTCACTGACAGCCCAATGCTGTTTACAATTAAAAACAAACACACATAAATATTGTACTCTTGGACTCGAGTGAGTTCTCTCAAACCCAGATTAATGTGGACAAGGTTACCACCATCTGTTGTTTGCTAACCTGCACGGTCTGAGAAGATACCACATCTTCCAAGGGACCACATCCACATAACTGCACCTCTGCCAAGGTTTAGAGTAATGCTCTGAAAGCCTCAGAGCAGCCAGGGGTTGGTTGGCAAAATTATAATCCACTAAAAAAACCAGGGAACTGAAATTCAGATGTTGTTATAAATGAAGGTGTTAGTCCTGATGCTTTACATTTGAGTTCTTTATTTTTGTTTGGTGTAGTTGGGATTTTTGGATGGTCCTTGTGTTAGTACTGTGAGTCTTTTGTCACAAATTGGATTCACATGCCCAAAACAGCAATGCCAAGCCTATATAATATTTCAGTGTATATATAAGGTTTTGTGGTTTATAGCACAGCCTTAAACTTTGGCAGGATGAAGTTATTCTTCACAAATTCTTTCAGAAGAATTGATTGTGCAATAATTCAGTCTCTGCTGTTACTTTTGCTCATTTAGGTCCTTGTCTGAAGCTATGTCAGTGGAAAAAATTGCTGCTATCAAAGCCAAAATCATGGCAAAGAAAAGATCCACTATCAAAACTGATCTGGATGATGACATAACTGCTCTTAAACAGAGAAGTTTTGTTGATGCTGAAGTGGATGTAACTAGAGATATTGTCAGCAGGGAGAGAGTATGGAGGACAAGAACTACAATCTTACAAAGCACAGGCAAGGTAATGCTCTGGATATGAAGCTGGGTTTTATGATCTCTATGACAAACTGCATTTTTATTTTCTGTATCTAATCTGTGAATCAGAGATGACAGGGGGATTATGCTCAGTGTTCCATGTAAAGGTGGGCTTGCAGGGCTGTTGGCCCAGTGACAGAAGAGTTTGTCCTGATCATGTTACAGTAAATCTAAATTGTATCTCCAACTACTTGCTTCAGCCACTTAAAAGATACTAAGTAATCACCTAATGCTTCTTAACCAAAGCTGGCTTGGGCCCTGCTGTGGGGAGGGCTCCAGGAATGGGTTGGAAACAGACCAAAGCGGGGAGTAATTGACAGAACAATGCAGGTACATTAAAAGCCCAAAGCTCTCTACATTGTGGAAAGCACCAAAGAAATAAGGAGGCAAAATGCTGGAATGAACAAAACGAGAGAGTGTTACCATGAAGAGGTTTTTGTCCCTTGATGCTACTTTGGGCTGCACTTGGTTATGTGCTATTCTGAGCATGGTTGCAAGCACAGCTGACAGCTTGCTCTCTTTGGACAGTGAGGCTTTCTTTATTGCAGAGCTAATTGGCACTAAATTTCTCAAGGAAGCACTAAGTCCATTTCTAAAAGATTTCAAGGGTCTGTTTTCCTGATGTTATTGTCAAACTCATCCTTTGCCTTCACTACTTATTTTAAGTATTGCCATAGGAAAATAATGTGTAGAAATAAATGAACTCTGTCTTCATTTATCTTATTTTTTAACAGTATTTTACATAGCTCTCAACTTTCCAGTATTGTCCCAGCGTTGAATAATTTAATTCATGAATTATGGGGTAATTACTGGGTATGTGGCACATTCCTGTGTGCCACCTACAGAGTGAGTGTTGCTTCTCTGAATCTCAGATTTGTAGCAGCCCTCACTGCTGAGCAGCCGACAAATTGGTAAAAGCGTTGATGTTTTAGTCATTGGGAAGATTTGTACCAAAGGAATCTGTGTAGCTCTTCTTCCTTTTGTGAATCGTTCATGGCATTCCTATCTCTACTTTTCTTCCAAGTGAAATTGCAAAGATAGTAGGGAAGAGATGAATGTTTTTGTTGTGGCATCCCTGTAGTAACAGTGAGATGAGGTAGTGACTTTAAGCAAATCATGACCCAGGGAGAAAGCCAAGAAACAAGAGGTGAAGTTTGTTCTTGGAGTCTAGCATGCAGTTACTGTGAGCAGCCTGATGAGTGTATGGGCATAACAGCAAATCTTCTATTTCGGTTTGTGCAGGGTTGCAGGAACATTCTTGATAGCTTGGACAGCAATCACCGGGTGTTAATGTTTATATTTTCCAACAAGTAGCAGTGAAAGTAAGTAGATAGAGAAACATCACTTGTTACTGAGGGCTGTGGTTTATCCCAGAACAGCTCAGGTTTTTCATTTGTACTTTGGTTGGGAGGGTTTTTTGGTATATGTTTGGTGTTTGGTTTTTTGGGTATTTTTCCTTTTTTTTTCTGTTTCAAGAACTTTTGTAAAAACCTTCTTGAAAGTTGTGAAGAAACTCAGATATGTTGTCTCAGACAAATAATTTCTTCCCTTCTTCCCTCTTCCTTTTAAGAATTTTGATCAGAGCAGCATGATACTGCTCTGCCAATGCTGTTCTGACTCTTCTGTATGATATTTGAGTTGCTGATGTGCCTGATAATTCTTTTTATTGTAAATTTTCACTATCTGCTTGGTATGGGTTTATCTGCAGATTCTCTTGAATCCTCTCCTAGAGTATTTAAAACAAAATTGACTTCAGCAATGCATGCCTTTTTAATATCTGAATTCCTTTGGAACTCCTGGGTGAATGGTAACAAACAGTGAGCACTCCTAAATGTAAATTTTGTTGTTTCTTTGCAAAAATTGCCTCAGTCCAAGGCTGTTTCTGAGGTTCTTTTCCACAGAGAAACACTCCTGTGTGTGTAAGTTTTCCCAGTGTTCTCTGTAATAAACTAAGATGAGCAAACAGCTTAAGGTGCAAAAAGTACACAAAAGTAAAAGGCCACAGTAGGCCACAGTACAAAAAACAATTCTTGACCTTTTCAGCTTACTGACAGGTTTCGTCTGGATTGAATATGTTTGAAGAAAATATTGATTTCTCCAGCAATATGCTCCTCCAAATTCTTCATAGATGTCAAAAATATTAAGTGTATTTCTGAAGCATTTACTGTTTCTCCTTTTGGACACACTTCCCAGTTCTGAAGTTTGCTTTATAGAACTGTTCCAGGATGTTTAATTCTCTGGTGATGTAGTGTTCTTTTTTAATTTTGAAAGAAGTTCTTATGATACTTGTATTCTGTCCTTTTACCTGCTGCTTTTATTGCCAGAATCTTCATTGTCACAAATCTCCCCTTGCTGAAATTACAGTGATAGATATTTGCCTGGCTGTGAGTTTGTTTTTTGGTTTATGAGAATGTGTAATTTGAGTGCATTGATGTTCCTGTTGTAGAAGGTGCTTCAGCAGCTGTGTCATTCCCAGTTCATTTGATCCTTAGGATTTCTGCAATGCATCACAAAGGTCTCTTGTCTGTATGGCCTCTCTGCTACATCAGATGTTGCATTGATCCCTGGATGTCTTACTGGTTTCAGTTCACCTGTTCTCTTTTGCTTTTAAGATTTCTACATTTGCATTTATCTGCTTGCTTATTGTTATGTTTACTTAAAACTTTTTGTTGAGTTCTTATTCTATAGTTTTCTGTAGGATTATTATGCAGTTCTACCTCTTTTGGAAAGCCAGTGTTTGATGTAGTAGATGAGTCATCCTGCTCTCTGTTTTAAAAATTGTTGCCTTTCCCCAAGTCTGTATTGCAGTCTTCTAGATTTTTATGAATAATGTGGCATTTTTATGTGATCACTTTTCAGAGCCAAATTACATCTGTTTAGTATAAAGATTTTTTTTTTCCTTCTCATAGTAACTTAATTTTAGAACTCTTTGACAGTATATATTGTTTAAGGAATTTAATTTCGGGAAGAGTTTTGAATCCATACATAGGCTATTTACTATCCTAAGTGTTTGAAATGTTAAGTTTTGCATCAGTGCTCTGCACAGGTTTCAGTTGTGTGCATGTTTTTAGATAAATGGGAGGCTGTTTTGTAAAACAAACCATTGAACACCTAGGAAAAAAAACTGGTTTTGTACTGAAATTGATTCTTTCCTTTCACATCCTTCCTCTAGCTTTCTATCCTAAAAATCCTTTTGTTTTTATGATCTTTTGTAGCAGGCAAGAGCAATCTTTTCTGAAGGAAAAACCTCCTTATTTCATCTGTACTGTAAATGTGTTTGGCACTTGAATTTTTCCCATGGGAACAAATTCAAGTAGCATTCACAGGTGTATTTGGAGAGTGTGTTTTTGTCTGTGACTGCTGGTGTACTTGATTTATATTTCTGTATTTATTTTTAATCTTCCCAGATTGCTCAGAACTATTTCTTAGATAAGCAGCAAGGTAACTGGGTGGGCTGTGTTGAACATGCTCTACTTGTGTGTAGAGAAATCTTAAAGCTGGAATCTTGGAAATGCACTAATACTGGCCTTGTAATTTTGTAACTTTTTGAAATGAACCAGTGTTCTGATATGAGCAGCTCTGAGCATTTTGGATGTTCTTTAAAAAAATAAAAAATTAATCCTTTTCTTTGCGGAGTGTGGTGGGTTGACCTTGGAGTGTGGTGGATGACAGGTGCCCACCAAGCTACTTCCCTGCTCAGCAGGGTAGCTGGGAGAAAATAAGATGCAAAAAAGTGTGTTGGTCAAGATAAAGGCAGTTTATTAAAAACAAAGGATGCGTGGGGAAGCAAAGGAGGATAGAAGATGTATTCTCTGCTTCCCATCAGCAGGAAGTCTCTAGGCTCTTCCTGAGGAGCAGGACTTGGGTACATTGAGCAGTTGCTCCTGAAGACAAATATTGTAACAAGAAGTGCCCTCCTCCTTCTTTCTCTTAGCTTTTACTGCTGAGCAGATGTTGTGTGATGGGGAATATCCCTGGAGTCAGCTGTCCTGGCTGGCTGTCCTCTCAAGATCCTGCCCAGCCCCATGGACTGCTGAGGAGGCAGCCTTGGGGCTGGGCCAGCCCTGCTCAGCAGCAGCCAAAACACTGGCTGTTATCAGCAGCAGCCAAAACACTGGCTGTTATCAGCACCTCTCTGCCCACCAAGGCACAGTGCAGCACTACCAGGGCAGCTGGGACAGAATTAACTCCACCTCAGCCACACCCAGTTCATGAGAAAATGCTACAGTTTATTGCTAAAACTTGAAATTTTGGCCAGCACTCTTCAGTTATCTTTTCTCACAGTTGCAAGTATATTAGAATTATGTTTTCTCAAGTGAACTCTAACCCTCTGTACAAGGAAATAACATAATCCAGCCTGTCAAAGATACAGGAAGTTTTAAAGGTTATAGGACATAACCTTTCTAAATCTCTTCAGCTGAGAAGCTGAGCAGTAGCTGCACACTCCTGGTGTAAGTGATGTCCAGGCAGACACACATCTGTCAGCAGCTGGCCCAGCTGCTGCTTTGGTGCATTTGTCAGCTTTTAGCATATTTGTAAATATTTTCTCCTCCCTGAGCCTTGTGTAAGTCTTTTGAAGACTTTGCCGGGCGTTATATGGCAGTGAGTGACCTGTATGGCATCTTAACATTTCTGCCTGCCTGGAGACAGTCCAGGGAAAAGCTCTGAAGTAGAACCAAGTAACTTGGACAGGAGAAATTGGCATTTCAGGTATACACATTTCTGATGCAGTTAGGTGTGTACCAAATCTAAGAATGATGGGATGTGGGCTCTTTCTGCAGGTAACTGTTTATAATGGAAAAACTATTAAGACTTGATATGGGATCAGTTAGGTGGACCTGAGTCTCTGTAGTTTTATAACCTTTACATCATGAAATTGTATCTTTTTGTAAGTGTAGCCTTGTTCCTTTAACTGTATATTACTTACAAGGTCAAGGTTGAGATGTTGAAGCAATAGTCTGTTTTTTTTTTTTCTTGCTCTTGCTT